CGGAGTTTCTATCTTATATAATAATTACGTATCTTACACGCATTTAGCAACGTCATTTACTATTCTCGTCTAGACAACCTTTCTCGAAACAAATATATTAACGATCGGTTACCGGTTGCAAATATTTTTTTGCCTTCCCCAACTTGAAACTCGAAACTATCTTTAAAATTTCTGCTTTGTAATTTGGACAATGTTGTATCATATAAGATATTCGTTTAATTTTTTCACACATGCGTATTCATAAAAAACATATGAAACAAAAAATATCAGTGCATAGAAATTGGATTGACCCAAAGAAATGCCAAGGATGATTATTTTCAACGGTTAAACTATCATGAATTTGATTGAAACACAAAAGTGACTAAGACTTTGAAACTTTGTTGGACAACTCAATACCATCGATATCATGATTGTTCATTTTTTATTTCCCCTATTTAATTTTTAATTTAACATCTAAATTGTTTCTTAACTAATAATTCGATTTATATGTCAATTAAATAAATCATCGATAAGATTTTCATTTCGAAACTAAAGAAAGTAATCTCGTAATTAAGATTCGTCCTTCTTTGGATAGATTTGTCGAATCATATTTGATTGAATCATCTTTACAATGAAATCTTGTTAAAAGAAAGGTGTCTGGGTAGGAAAGAAAGTATCCGGTTTCGTAGGTCAAGAGAAGTCTGGTTTTCATGAAAAACCGGGAGGCACCTGTTTCTACTGATGGTCCCTTCGGTGGTCATTTCCTGTATCATCCTTGGGAATAACCAGGTTAATCCATGATTGACCTTTCTCCTGTATATAGGAGCGTGCCTGACCTGTTGTATACGAAAAGGGAGAAAAAGAAAAGAGGGTCATAGAAAGAAAAAAAAGAAGGCACAAAGACAGATTTCAATCCCGGCACGCGACCAAAACAGTAGTGCTGTGTCGAAAAGGTTTCCTTCACACGTCGCACAAATCTTAACAAATATCTGGGTCTTTGGGAAACCTTATATTTATATTTTTATTCGTTTGGTTCAGGTATTAGTTGGTGTTCATCGAAAATGCATCGGCGTCTTTAAATCTATCCCTCACTTTACCTAAAAGAAGCTGTGAACATTTTGTTAGGGCGTTCACGAAAGGGCTACTCAACCTTTCAACATCGACCGACATCAACGTACCCATCAACTTCACCTAAATCTTATCCAAGATAATGTTACGTCACTTCTAACCGCATCTGTTTTGATCAAGTGCATGCCACTTTAGTTTTCAACATTTTGAAAGTTTTCAAATTTATGATGAAACATGTGAAAATTCTCTGACCTTTTATTCTTACTAAGGAAACAGGGAGAACGTTGGTTTATTTCTGACAGTATTTTTTCTGATTACATATTATACATTTTACTATATTATATATAATATACAAATTATAATATTAAATTTACATGCTACGATCAAATATAAAGAAATTTTTGAACATGTTCGCAAGTTTATACAATTGAATAAATCTACTAATTTTTCTTATAGAAATAGTGATAATATCGAATTACTTTTGACAATGTATATCCTGATTAAACGTATATACATAAGACTTCACAATTCTAAATTAATATTATACAATCAAATATGGAGAATTCTTAAACATGCTTACAAGTTCATCAATTTGTATAGGAAATAGGAACCGTTATTAGGCCGTCATTTGAATGGTTGAAAAATAATCATGCAAAAAAAAAGGAAAAAGAAAAAAAGAAAGAAAATGAAAGAAAGAAAAAAAGAAAAAGAAGAAGAGGAAGGAGAGAAAAAAAAAGTTTTTTCAGGGCAATCATCCGCATTCCCATGATTGCCTGTGGGTGAACTGTTAAGAAGGAAGGTGGAAGAGCAAAGGGAAGTTTGATGCAGCCCTTCTTAAAGCGTATGTAGGTCGTAGTAGATTGAAGAATAGTACTGAAGGATATCCTGTCTATAGATATCGCTGACGAAAGAAAAAGAGGAAGGAGCGTGAAGTGCGTGAATGAATAAGAAAAAGCAAATGGGGAGTATCTACTGAAAACCTGCCATGAAAATCTTTCTTTCTTTCTTCCTTATTCTTTTTCTTTTTCTTTTTTTTTCTCTTTCTTTTTCTTTCTTCTTGACGTGCACTTGTACTTTTATCGCTTGTGTCGCTTTTGGAGACAACCTACTTCCGGTTCGTTGATTCTCACATCGACATTTTGAATAACTTTCTTCTAGAAAATCTTCTATTCTTGCAAAATTTTTCAAACTATCCTTTAAATATTCTCTTTGACGTCTTTCGAATTTTATTTCTAGTCCTAAAATTTTTTACGTAATATATTATTAATGATGCAACACAATAATTTATGTTAGAAAAAATACATACCATAGATATATTACACAATACATGATAATTCGTTTTTCTTCATTTTGAAATTTGTTCCAGTTGATAATCTCCTAAATGAATATTATTAGTTGTTAATCTAATCTAAATGATATATTAAAGCTGTATATTTAATTAGTGGTACTAAATAATTCGTCTCTCTGAAGAATTACAGGAGATATTCTAAATACAATATTTGAGAAATTTCTTCTTTTTTTTTTTAGAATTTCTTTAAGTTTTAAATCTTGGTTTAAATTCCAAATCCACATATCTAAATTACATTAGAAAATATATAAGAAATATTGCAATTATTCGACATTTGTTAGAATTCTAATTTTTCTTTAAATTCTGATATAACACAGTTTAATAATGCAACTACAAAATTTTGTTCACCTAATTAATGAAAAATATAAAATACAATTTTAAAATACCAAACCTTCTGATTTGAAAATTAACTTAAAAAAGAAAAAGGATAGAGATAACAATTGATACAACTAAGTTAATCTTACGAAGATTCGTTCGAGTATAAGAATATGTAACGCGTACGATCATCTTCTCTCCCTTTTTTCTCTATCCCTTTCCCTTTCATCATCGACGACGATTTCAGAACGAACGTCAAACTCTCTTCTATTCTTTTTCCTTAACCGAGTAAACGCAGCCGGCATCACCACCGGCCAATGCATAGAAATGTGTATGTCTGTGGAAGAATATCCGTGAAACGTATTTTTAGGAAAAGAAGGAAGAAAGGATTCCGTGGGAAAAACGAAACCGTGAAAGAAAAAGAAAGAAGAAAAAAAAAGAAAAAAAAAAGAGGAGAAAGTTTGATGATGCACCGTGGATTCGCGCGAGGAAGAGCAAAAGGGTAGAAATAAGAGAGAAAGAGGAGTTTAAAGGGGGAAAAAGAAAACTGAACGGGGAATTGCGAACGTTCGATAGGTTGATGTTAAATAGGAGGAAGGGGATAGATGAAGGAATAAAGAAGGGCGGGAAGGGGGTTAGAATAAAACCTAAAACCGTCATCGTTCTAGCAAATTTTCACCGTTTTCGTGGTAAAACGAGTCCTCTTTAGGTTCCTTATTACGTAGAAAAGTATGAATTATTTTGGAAGACGATATCGAACGAAAAGGGTTCGTGAACGTACCTTCATTTTACCTAAAAATCAAAGTAAAAAAAGGAATAAAAGGGTTGAAAAGAGGAACACGAGATATAACCAAGTCGCGTGACGAAGTTCTCAGGAAATGAACGAGTGAAATGAATTCATCGAAATTTTGTCGGTTTAAAATGGGTGGTAAATTTTAGCGGATAAGTAGACCCGTTCGTCCTTCTTTAGAACTTTTAAAAAAAGATTTTCGGTTTCTGTACGAAAAGGGTTATTATGATTTATCGATTTTTATACCTAATTTTCGTGGAATCTTGGGAATAAGGGTGTTTGAATTAAACTTCGATTAATTTCGATCATTGATACGATTGAACGAACAAATTGATTTTGACTTTTACTTCGAACACCTTATTTCGTGACGGAAAAAGGGTTCTAACCAAGATTGTAAAGGATCCTAAATAAGGTAGATTTATATATATATATATATAATTTTTTTCGTACTCAACGAATGGGATGCTTTGTCAATCGTGTGATCCGACGTTTTTAAATGTCGTTTGAAATTTTCCAAGATCTCGGATATTATTTTTCTATTGTTTTTTTTTTTCTTTCTTTGAAGAGAAGCTCTAGAAAGGTTTACACGTGTTAAACTCTTGTGTTGTCAGCTACCAAGAAGGAAGACGGCGATATACGTGACATTTAAGTACGTCTCGTCAGTAAGCGAACGACGACATTCGTTTCTATTGTCCAAAGAAATCCCTTGTTTGCTCGAGGATCTGGTGAACAGCTGATTGGGATTTTCACTCTCGTTCTGCTCCTTGTGGATTATACACACGGCACGTTGCTTTCGAAACGAGAACTCGTCCTTCTCTTTTCTCTAACTTTCTAGCTTGTTTGCCAGCAGACTTGCTACCTTACTATCTTGGTAGCGATAAGCTTGAGCTACAGAAACCTTAAGTTTATAAATCAAATATACTTACTAAATAATATCTTCCCTCTAAAGTCATTGGCATATGAATTTATAGATAGGAAATGTTTAATATTTTCATAGTACGTTTTAAACGACGTTTACATTATTTTTAAATGTCTTTAATGTTATTGAACATGATAATTTTCAAATGTCTTTATTTCAATCATATAAAAACAATATATTAGAAAATTGCATATTATTTATCAAATTAATTTGTGTACCCCCCTATACTCTTAATATTTAATCAAAGTAATTAAATGTAATTAACGAAATGTCTGAGAGAAATATTAACGTGAAGTAGAATACAGTTTAAAAATACAAACCTAGAATGATCACTTTCTGTAATTTTTTTAAAGATCAGCTACAGTGGATTATTAAATCATAAATGCTGTTAAAACTTTTAAACAAATTTAAATAGGACACATCTTAATATGAACCTTTCTTTTTTTTTTTTTTTTTGTATTTTCTATTTATTTCTGAAGGAGGTTTCACTTATAATAGAATACTCTATCTATAGATAATAATAAAAATAATATAATTAAAAGATAAAATTAGATAGATCCAAATGAATAGTTTGAAATTGATATAATTCATCATAAACGATAAAGGTGGAACGCTCGATTAGGTGACCGATAAGTTAGATTACACGAGTTCCGATTCCCTTTTCACAATTGACAAAAAGGGAAAAACAGAAAAGGAAAGAGAGAGAAAAAGAGAAAAAAAGAAAAAAAGAGAAATCACCCCATCGTCAGGTTTATTTAATACAGAGTAAAGTGTAGGCGGCGCATAGGGTGGTTGATGGGGTGGTCGATGGGGTGGCGCACCGTAGCTGTCAGGGGGTGGTTGGTGGCCTCTAGGGTCTCGGCAACCTGTTGAGTCAGACAATATCGCGTTTTTACTAATGCCACATTCTCGGTCCCGGCACGAGCATCGAAACCAACCCCCTAATCGACCCGTGGGGGCGACGAATACGATTTTATCTTTCAATTTTTATTACTCGCAGTCTTAATTATTGATTTTTAATAAATTCCTTTATTTATTAAAGGTTTCAAAATTTATTTCAAAATTGTTTAGAAGATTGTCAACATTGATTTTGTACAATATTGGAATTGGTAGATAAATATTGAGTCAGTTGTTGGATAAGATTTTTCTTTTTGTTTAAAAAAAGATTTTTTTATATTTGGTTAACATATGTTCCACAGCCCTATAATACGTCTTCTCTCATTTTATACAATCTATTAAATAAGTTTTTATTTCGAGTCTTTCAAAGAATAATAATTTCCACAATGTTTTAACTTTTCAATAAAAAGAAACAAAAAAAAAAGAAAATCTAATACAACCGATAAATTTGATTTTTCAATTTAAACGATTGATACATCTATCTACGATGTGCCTTGCGTGGGTTTATTTTTATTCGACAGATTTAGGATATTCTCCCTTTTTTCTACTATTTATATTCGTTTTTATTCACTGAATTTAAATTTACGAGAGAACATATCCGCATCAAACGAAGAAAAGTAAGAAAGAGATAAAGAAAGGAAGAAAGAAGAAAGAGAGAAGAGAAGAAGCAAATGCACCGGCAACCAGACGGAGGACCAGGTGCATCTCGGGAGCCTGGGAAGCACAAACTCCAAAACGATAGTGGCAGATGCTACCGCATTCAGTCGATCTCACATCTCGCATCTTTCTAGTCACCTTTCTAGTTGTCTCACTAACTGTTGGATGTATAACTGGTGGATGTCTGTCGCGTATTTTCCATTCATCGATATATATATACACGCACATATATCCTCATTTGCGTATTCGCAAACGTATTTCGATCCTTAGACTGCTTGGCAAAAGCAAAAAATTTATTTGACTAGTAAAAAACATTAATATATGTTTTATATTTCAGAGATGATAGTTTATTATGATTTTACGTACTTTTGAATGAATTTCAATCCATCCGTTGTTGATAAAAACAAATTAATTCGATTTGTTTGATCAATAAATCATCATTTAACTCGCTTGAAATATTGAAGTTAATCTGTCGTGATCGGTCATCTTATTGCTTATCTGGATCTTTTTAATATTCAAGAATAAAATTATCATAAATTGTGTTACACATTTCTTAAAACGATGATCACCTATAAATAAAGAAAGATACATCTGAAACGAAAATAATCGATTATGGTCTTATATTAATCATTTTTTACTTACGTAACAGCTTTATGATGTCAAGAAGACGTCGAACAAATTCCCCATATGGACGGTGCTATGGAAAACGTGGAAAATTGAACGACATATGACGCTTATGGGGATCTTCCTTATTTGAACTTGAAACCATAGTAATTAATTTCATACACTGATTTCTAACTATTTCCTTTTAATCTACCGTAGCTGCCCATATGCCTTGAACAAATCGAAACGTTTCCTTCGAAAAAAGAAAATAAGAAAACTATTAACAAAAAACAAATACATTATTTTAATTTATTCCTAATTTATAAGAACGTTATTTATAAATTTTCTAATCATTAATTCATCATTCATTATTTCATTTTTTTATAATTTTAATTATATTAAATTTCTAATTAACATAAAAAATAAATAAATAAAATATTGTAAATGTTAATTGGATGTTGGGAAAAATGAAAGAGGGCGAAGGAAAGACAGGGCTTTTCAGAAAAAAAAGCTATAGCAGTAACATAATTTAACACTTTGTTGACCGGTCCCGAGTTAACTCGTGCTTCTGAGGCCGAACGTTGTTGACCGGTCACGAGTTAACTCGTGATGCACTTTTCTTTCGCACCACGCTATTTAAAAGGAAAACGCAGCGAAAATAAATATGACAATGACAAATTTTTTTTTGTACTATTGTTATATTGTTTATCATACTAAGAAGAAATATTTAAAGTTTAATAATAAGTAAAATTTATTTAAAATTACTTAAACTGTTTTACTTGTCAATTCAATTACGAAGTAATAGCCGGTGACATGAGATAAATTCTTTAAAAAATAGCCGGTCAACAAAGTGTTAATTCGACCACTCCTATTTTCGGAGTTAATATAAAAGAGTAGAAGAAGATTCGAAATAAGTTTTCCTACGTACTAGACCTACCTCACACGAAACTTTTGTCGGTCTCCCATAACTTATGATGCCCACGATAAAGCTAAATATTTGTCAGGTGACCCTTAGAAAAAGTATCTTGGACAAAACATCTACCGTTGAATCGTTAAAAAGGAAAGAATATTCTGTCTGTCTCGAATAAAATTCGTTCCTTCTTTCTTTTTCTTCTTTCTCTTTCCCTTTCTCTTTCTCTTTTTCTTTCTCGGGTTAGTTCATCCACGTGGTTAAATGGACTTTGGACTTGCCTTTACGGTAAATAAGATTTTTCGAATGCTTTTTAAAATACTCGTCTCACTCTTCTCATTTGTATTCTTTGCTAGTTTACATTTCAAGACCGGTAAAAAAATGGTGGGGGCTGTAATGGTGGGGATATAAAGAACAAAGGAAACAAACACCATAAACATAATATATATATATACTCGAATACATAAGATACAAACGAATATCGAATCGTCAGATCGTAAATTCTGATCGAATTCTAATTTGATTTTCGTTATCGTTTAGATTGATACTGTTGCTTGAGAAAAAACTCGTATCTCAAATTTAATCCTGGGATTCTTTTATTCGACGTCTCATCTTACGGGCATCGGGAAGCTGTAAAAGGTAAGTTACAAAAGTTGCATTGTCATGTAAGAATATATATCGTCTTCCGAAAAAGTCAGTTGATAAAAAATGAGAGGAAGGAAGGAAGGAAATGAACGTGAGGATGCAACTCATTACGACAGATGTCTTAGCTGTGGGAAAAATCTTTGTTGAATACGCATCGTCGAATAAAATCGAGTACTAAACACGAATACAAAGTTCGAACTATGTTAAAATTTGAATTTCAACGGGTAATAAATAATGAACCTATAGAATTATTCAAATTAACACAAACGGAACAATTAAAATAAAATAACATAAAATAATAATTTAAATTAGAATGTTTGAATTAACTGAAAAGTGAAACGTTTATTTGTTCAAATAAAATTGTTTAAAATATTAGGAAGAGGTAAAATTTGATTTATTGTTTAAGTATTAGTATGGTCGAAGTAGAGGGAAGGAAATAGAGAGTTATAATACTAATAATATCTTCAATTGTTCGATGTGTACACTCATGTCGGTATTCATTGATGAAATGAACTTGAGTTGTTTCGTTCAAAGACAAAGTCGAGTATATTTATATGTGTACACGTGTACTTATAAGCTGGCGTTATAAACAGAACAGTCATGCGTAGAGACATTTGGACTATCGAAAATTATTCCTTGGTATTAAAATGTCACGAGATCGTAGTTGATAAACAACAAATGTTTCTTCGAATAGTTGCGTGAGAGATAAATAAATGGCCAATGTAAGAAATTTTGTTTCGAAATCTAAATTATTACAAAATCAGAATAAATAGGTAAACAATAATAAAAGTTTATAAAAACAAAATTACAAGGAATATAGAAATTATTTAATAATATTTATTATTATTATTTTATTATTATTATTATTATTATTATTATTATTATTATTATTATTATTATTATTATGTATATAAAAACATAATAAAAATAATAATTATTATTATGTATATAAAAAGATAATAAAAATAGAATTTAATTGAGAAAATAGAGAAAATAAAACATGGAATTAGATTAGTATTGGAAGAGGATAGAGAATAAAATAGAAACGTTCATTTCTCAGTGACCCGTTTAAGTCTCAATTGGGACTCTCTATCTTTCTCTCTTTCTCTTTTATTTTCAATCATTCTCGTACGTGTAATCAAATACATGAAGTTTAAGTGTATAGAAGACATTGCGAAAGTCGTTTGATTCGTAGTTTCGAGCTGGGCAATGTCCATTTGAACAACAACTGGAGCTCGGAGTTTCAAAAGGAAGAAAAAGAAGGAAAGAAAAATAGAGAGAGAGAGAGAGAGAAAAATGAAAATCAAAGAGTAAGAGACTTAAAGCAAAAGGGTCTCACAGCCTTGGAAGAGGAACATATGGTCCACGGACCGGCGCATCGTTCATTGGCCGACACGTAGTCTCGTAATCTTGCTATTTATCACAGGATGCGCGAACAAGAAAGAGAAAAAGAGAGAGATATTTGTTAATCTTCGTAATGTTAAACCACCAGTGATTTTTCTAATAATTAATAAGTACAGATGAGCAAGGATGTTTGTTTATTTAGGAATGTAATTTTTTTTTTACGTAAATATTTATACATATTATTAGTAATGTTTTGTTATAGATAATAATTGGACCGATAAATTACTAAAGAAAAAAATAAAATAAATTATTTTAAGTCTATACTTTAATAAAAGTAGAACAAGATAATGATAAGATTATAGTAGAAAGATTATAAGGAATAAAATAATATCAAAAAAATATATTGAATATTTTATAATAATTAAAAGTTAATCTAAATAATAAATATTATTACAAAATACTTTATAAATGCTTAAATATATTTTTATTTACCTTCTTTGTACATTCTGTTTCGAGTATAACAAAAAAAAAAGGAAAAGGTCGATTATATTACAGTTTAAATAAAAATAAACGTACCACTTATCTCAATAACAATAATAATAATAATTAAATACTTACTAATATTTCTCATACAAATTGATCGAGAATGTTCATTTGTACTTTACTTATTTCTTAAGATCAGAAGATAAAGTATACTTACTAGTCGTTAAAAATCATTGATGAATACGAAATAAGTTACTCATTAATGTTCTTATCTAAGATTCTGACGTAGTTTTACCGTTTTTTATTTCTTCTATCTCTCTCTATTCATTAACTATTACATATATTCTTGTAATTATCTTACTGACGCAAATGAATGTTGAGTATGGTCGCAATAAGTTGTTAGAACGATCGACCGACGGTACTGAATATTGGATTAGTGAAGAAAGGTAAGGAAAATAAGAGAGGAGGGAATAGATTGATATAAATGATGATAGAAAAAAAAACAAGAACTCTGACATATTATAGCGAGAAGGATATTATTTATTTCTAAGATAATATCCTGAAAATGTATGAACATTTGTACATGTTATCCTGAGGTATTTGTTTATGGCGTTCCATTGAGATAGTTTATTAATATGTTAATCTCTGACGAATAAAACGCTTCAAAGGGTTAAGAAATTTGTTACGTGAATTATTTTATATAATAGATCAAACGTTGTATTTTGCATTATCGTTATCCTATTGAATTTATTTTATTTAATTAATGCATTTATTATTATTTTTTTTTTTCAAATCTTCTTGTATATTTGTAATCGGCAGTGTGTTTCTTCTCGACAGGAAGAATAGATTTTTCATTTCATTTTATTTTTTGTTTGTTTATTTTATTTTAAATGTATTTTACTTATATTTAAATTAATTCTATTTATAATGAAATTTATTTAATTATCTAATTATTTATAATATATTTCTATTTATTCATTTATTAATTTATTTAATAATAAATTAATAATTGTTTGTTCTCTGTCCGTTATCGAGTCAATATCTATGTTTGTTCGTTATTTGGATGCTGTATTCGTGTGTATGCGTGTGTGTATACGTGTATTAAATATAAGTAAATATTCTACGTACGTTTAATAAAAGTTGTTTATGCTTATCCTAGTATACATTGATCGAGATTCGCAACTGGATGGCATTATTTCATCGCTGCGTACGTAACATGAGTTATTAATTTTTTTTTTTTTTATAATTTTAAACTATCACCTTTTCGAAGGTTAGTTCTCAATACATTTTCAACTATTGTCAACTATCGTTTACAATCAAACAGGACATTGTCAAATTTTGTCGTTACATTTTTTTTTTACGATAGAAAAAGAAAAACAAATGTTATTTTTTTTTGTATATGCGACTATGTTTGTGTGTATGTGTGTGTATGCGTTAAATTTATATATTTATAATTATTTATGCATTAAGACGGAAAGCAGTGAACGAATTATATTTTATTCTTTTTTTTGTTTTGTTTTCTTTTTCTTCTTTTTTTTCTTATCAACGTACGCTTACAGGTTTTGCGTTTTTTGTTAATAAAAACAACAAAAAAAAGAAGAAAAAGGCATATTTTTTTACTGCTTTTGTTAATACCAATCATTCATGTTATCTTATATACATAAATTTATATATATAATTTATATTGATAAAAACAAATGTATGTGCTCGATTTGAGATTATAAATGATGAAAATTTAAGAGATACACGTAATTTACTTTACAATTTGTGCATACAACTAGTAAATTCTTTCCATTTATTTCTTTCAATATATTTACGAATTATCGGAGTTACTTTTGTTTACATGATTTTTCTTTTCTATCGCTTATGTTAGACTATTTATCATGAGACAAATCATTGATTTGCATCAATATTGCTTCGTCATCAGGTAGGTAGGTCATAATTCTAATAACTACGGAGACAACTCATATTTATGTGTTGTGTGTGTGTATGTTTTTTCTATTTTTTTTTCAAACATCGAGCAAAGTATTACTAATTATTCTTATTCAAGATGATAAAATATCGTAATTACAGGAAAATCTTTGATCAACAGACAGATGAAGAGAAAAAATAAAATAAATGAACACTAATCTATCATTTATTTTATTGAAATTCGTTCGTTTTTGTGACAAGCCATAGATTTGTTAATTTTTTTCATCGCTTGATCGTTTAATTAATAGAAAAAATTTTTTCAAGTAAATTATAGGAACGAACGAATGTGATCAATTATTTATAAATTATTTTTTTATTTATACTTGACAGAAAAAAAATAAAGTTAAATCATTTAGGAAAAAAAAATAATCCTTTGCTCGATGAAATTGAATTCTAAGTTATCGAAAAAGTACATCGATTCTTATAAAACAAATCATTTCGAAAACGGAACAGAAAGAAACCAGTTTATATTCTAAACTGGTATTATATTTGTGAATTTTATTTTTTCCTCAATTCTTAACAAGAGACATGAAATTGTATTACTTATCGAATTAATATTAAAAATTGTACTTATATAACTATATTCATTCTTATCAAATATCATTAATATTTGTAAAAAAATAAGAAAAACAATAATTAATGCAATCATACAAATGTTCGTTTTTCAATATTGTTTCTCATCCCCGTAATAGAAAGAATGAATAGGAAAATAATAAGAAAATAAAAGAAAGAAAAAAAGTAAAAAGAAAAACACAAGAAAAAAAGAAAAAACGAAAGGAAAATACAGACATAAAGATAGAGAGAAAGGATTATTTTCTAAGATTATCGAGCACGGTCAAATCGAATGATTCCTTTCTCCCGAGTCTGCAACGATTTGCTAAATTACAGAATGTTCAAGGTTACGAGAGCACAAGCGGTACTCGGTGTACGTAAGAACGAGTGATAGCTGTGAGTAAAGTTATAAGAAAACAAAACAATATAAAAAAAAGGAAAAAGAAAGAAAAATACAATCAAACGCGGTAAAAAAGAAAGAAAGAATGAGAGGGAACGAAGGGTGGGGTAGATTGAATAGGGATGCAAAAGGATTCCCCTTAAGATTTCATGGATATTTCATGGAATTTTGCCGATGATATGTACGACGCTATACTATAACGTGGTAGTGCGTTCGTACTTGGTCATTAAGTAAATTGGCCAATAAAAGGGCCGGCCGTTGGAAACGCGCGAGCGCGTGCGATTACTAAGGAACAGAAGTGTATACTAGAAACAAGTTGATTTTTTAAAATGTATGTATAGTTTGTGTGTTCGTGTGTTTGTAAGTAAAGTGTCGCAAAAATTGGTTCATTGTACTGTACACATTTTATAAATTTGGTTTTTTTGTCAGCTGTTTTTTTTAGCAAATATTGAACTTCGTTTGACCTTTTCGTTCA